TTCCACATGCCGTAACTCTTTCTCACAACAATGACTGGCATACTCTCCCAGCTCCGTTCAGTAGCACGTCCACTATCAACTCTATCCGAATATCCTGACCTGAATTCTCAGACGTGCTTGACGCTACGTCCAGAACAGGCAGATAACCCGAGAAGCCAGCATTCCTTCTCAACGTAAATCAGTCAAGGGCTGTCGCGTAGTCGCCTCTAGGCACACGTTCGTTTTATAGACATACTGAGAATAGCCAGAGTGAAATCCACCTCAAAGCGAAATTTTACTACCTCTGTAAATAATCTAATACCACTATGCTCAGCTGCGATCTTATTTCCTCTCACTTGTCCAATTTTACTTTCGTTCATTCCTCGCAATAAACGCCGTCTTATTTTTCTCCATTCTCTACTCTATGGCCTGATTTACGAGACGCCCGGTACATCTGAGCAATTTCTATCTCCACACCAGTATGGACGATTAAACAAGATCGGCACGCTTTGGCATATACAAACGAACCGTACTCTCGCGTAGATAAATTGAATTTTATTAAAAGAGATAAAGCGAAGTTGTATCGAATTGTCATCGGAATTCGAAGAAGCCAACCTATAAAATCGTACACGATTTTTCGATCTCATTAACCGGACTTGCCTCCCCACACACCGCTTCCGTACAGGGGCGAGTGTAAACTGGGACAACGATAACTCCGATTCTCGGAACAGTACGCGAAACTTTTCGCCTTCCGACCACTGTGAACGTAAATGAAAACTTTCGCTGGTTCCGACATTGTGTACTTCTTTTGTACGTATCTCCGGCGAGAAAGAAGAAAAGAGCCGTAGAAAAGTGAAATAACATCCTCGTTACCTTCTTTTTGCTCGCTTTTTTTCACGCTGCTGTTTCATTCATAAAACAGCGCCATCTGCGCTGGCTGAAACAAGTTAAAGATCCGAAGAGATCTGGCTGCTGGCAGACTTTCGATACTGTCGAAGAAACACCGACGTACAGAGAAGTCGTTTGCCATGAAATTCGAGTTCGAGACTCCCTATCTAGGTTCTTTAAAAAAAAACACACTTTCGTCGAAGGACGACATCTTCGGGGGGATTTCCCCCTCGCCGAAAAGGATTCCAATTGAAAACTCTCGTCGAAGATAACTGTATCACGTTCGGTTATCTGTCACGGGTGTACGATAATCGAACAGACACGTTCTTTAATCAGTTACATTCAGTCTGGTAGCCTGTTCGTAGAATCTCGATGTTACGACCCGGTTTTCGTTCTTAATTCGAGGCTTTTCTCACGTGCGCGCGAGCTATGCGGAATTGCGAGTTTTGCGGGGTCGCCACGGTGGGGCTGGCGGCGCTGCGATCGCGGCTCTCGCGCCATCGGCGCGTCACAGCCGCTCAGTCTAAGTCCAACCGTCGCGCGATCATTATCGAGTGGACAGCTGACCACGCGCGTGTCCTTTGTGCCAGCCGGTAGAGGTTATCCACGTTAAACATCCACGAAACCGTTGTTCTACCGTCGTTGATTGTCCGAATCGTGATCGATCGTTCTTCGGTGTCCTTTTCTGTTGATAAAAATAGTAGATTTAATAAAGAAACATTGTCGTTGCGTAATTTTTACGATCGAGATGAAAATACGTTCGCGAGCGTGGCCGAAAGTGGCGACTAACGATGACACGTGAAAGTGTGCATGTGTCGTTCCTTGCGACACAAACGTTTCTAAAGATAAGGAGAATTGCAACGGGATGCTTCGAGAGGGCGATGCTGCTCAAGTGCGTGCGTCGAGGTTCTCGAAACGATAAGGAAAAACATGGTGGGGTGGATACTTGCAGATAAAGAGGAGTAGGTTGGAAGGAGGAAGCGTGCGTGCCCTCGGTGAACTGTCAAATGGTTAGTGGTTCAGCCGTTCGCGCGCCACTGTGCCCCTTTAAATGCCTTGTTTTCATCGAATTGGCATTTTTGGACCAGTGTTTCTTTGTGTTACACCGTACGCCTGCAATCGTCAGTGGTAGAGGGTATACGCGTGTTTCAAAGTTTACCTATACACTCCAGATGCAAACGGCTCCGGTGTTTACATATCCATCAGTTTTTTCTTAAGCAAAAGAACGGTCTGGCGTGTTGACACAGAACACGTACACACGCAAGCGTGTTTCCTTCGGTTCCGTTGACCACAAGGTTCCATTTACGTAACAGACGTGTTGCGAGACTCGCATATCTCACGTATCTTTTTCCGAGAAGCATCCAAGCGTAGATGTACGTAGAATCGAGAGCTTTACGAAGCTCTATTCAATGTCACTCGGGGATTAGTTTTATATTTTTTCTTCGCTTGTGATCGACCGTAAATTCGCGAAGACGCATACGTTCGATACGTTTTATTTTTCTCTCGTTGCAACGATCGTCGTGTCGTGGCGCTTCGTTCCGTGGAAAAGTGTATTTGCATCTTGTTTACGCTCTTGAATAATTCTACTTCTCGGAACGCGCGCGTTACCATAATACATTTTTCACGCGTTCTTTTTCTTTCTTCTCTTTTTTATCGTTCGGCACGCAATACGCTTTTCAGAAGCAATTAACCGTGAAGGGAAGAGAAAGGCGAAGTTTCCGAACGAATTTTCAAGATCCGGGATCAGCTGGTAGGATCGACTCGGTGCAATTATTAACGAGCACGTGGGTGGTAGTGGTTTGCGTGTTTGCCTGATTTCAAGCCGCAACGAGTTTCGCAGTTCGATCATTTGCACTCGGTTTACCGTACGGTGAACGGTAGTCCCAGTGTGTGTGACGACAAATTACTGCGACATACAGGCTGGTTCAAAAATTTCCCCGCGAAATTGATGGATATTTAGTAGGTGTGAAAATTCGAAAAATAATCGTCGTTCGTGTATTCTGACGTCAATATTCGAATCACTCGATAGTGGCAATACTTTTAAACCATTTGATACATGGAGAAAACAACAGAAACCTGTTTCGGAAGTTAGCGATCGCAGTTTTGGTAAGAATTTGGTCGGTTGTTGTTGCAGATGTCGGAGTTCCCAGTGGAGGGAGGGGAAAACGGTGACATGCACACTGTCATGGAGAATTTCCAGAAGAAGAACAACATGGTGTCCGGCAGGAGCCATGTCACCCATCATCCACAGGTCACCTCGTCGTCACAGGTAATTATTCCATATTTCTCATTCGTTTCCTAATAAACAAACTGCACCAGAAAAATATCGAATAAAATAAAATATAAATACCTTTACTTTAAAAAACCAAAACAAACCTTAAAAATAGTAAAATTAAAAACTGTAGAATAATCAAGAAATAAAAATCGTTTCATCTATTTCGATTCAATTCTTCAAACACGGCACACTTTACGCTGCAATAAAATTAGAAGGAAAACAAATCGAATCGACTGTATTACTCATGTTTCGCCGAGAATTGGCGAAATTCTCGTTTCAACGGTGAATCTCGATTATACTCTAACCGTGTCGTTCGCAGAACTCGTTTTGGAAAATCGATTCGAGGCGCTAGAGGAACGACTTAATAAGCTCTGCCATCGAACTTTCTATTTTTAAAGAACGCGACGAAAAGTAACATTTAATCCGACGCTCGTAGCGTCGCGACGCCTGTTCGCCCACACCGAGCTTTCCTGACCACGGAATTACTTGGAATTACAGGGCGATTCCGCAACCAAAGCCTGAGCGAATTTCCAAAATTAATTCGCCGTCATTTTTCACGGAGTTCCCTCTCGGGCCACGTGGCGCGTGAACAGCTGAGTCGTTTCAAGGGCGGGAAAATTCAAACGAAGTGTTTAACAACAAATTCGTAGAACGAAACTCCGAGGAACTCTTCGATCGATATTTTTCAATTTTTACTTCCATTTTTTTACTCGATTTTTGCAATTACATTCCGTGAATCTCGATACGTCTGTTGTAAATAAATTTTAGAGTAGGTTCGACCGATATCGCGAACCGATTCTCGTAAAAATATATTTATCTGCTATCTTAAAAGTGTGTATTTTCTCGAATCGCGTGACTTTCTGTTTATTTTCACGGCAGTCGTGCGATCGAAGAGTTACAGAAGGCACCTAATTTCAAAAATAGTCCATAAAAATCCTGGAAATCCTTAAAAATTTCATTTTTCGTCGATGCATTATCTCGATTTCTCGCAGACTGAATTACCTGCACTTTTCTTACGAACTATTTATATCCAATACACAATTGCACCGAAATAGAATTGTCTATAGTTAATATCCGATTGTAATAAACAAAACGCTCTTGGCACTGGTTGAGACACGTGGAAAACGTTGAACCCTCTCAGAATTTCTATCACATGCTCCCTCGTCGAGCACGTGATTAGAGAGTCCTTATAAGAAGATCAACAACATTTAAAAACGGTCAGATGTAATAATAAGAGATTCGCGAGAAGAGTTAATTGGAGACTACGACGACGGTGAATCAGACGTTTCACTTTTGATAGATCTCAAGGAGGAAAATCTGAATGTGCGATCTGTTTGTCGGGAGCCAAACCGGCGATTATGCAACGGATACAGAGTCCACGTGTTTCAGTACCGCCCACTGATAACCTTATCAACGACACATTCTCTCTTTTAATTACGCCTCCTTTCATCTTTCGCGTATTCTTGACTCGTTTGCAATTTTCGCTGTTTCACCTTGTTGCCTCACTCGACCACTCTGCTATGCAACAACTATCCGTTTCGTAATATCGCGATGGAAATAGAGCGCTTATCAGGAATTGGAATCTTTTTGTGATTTGATGCTCTATTTCTATCGACGTGACGAAACGACCACGAGTGTGATGTAATCTGCCGAAATTAGGATGCATTTCGTGCAAGTCGAGTTAGATCGAAAAGTTCGAATTTACATTTCAGCGCGAAGGTCGTTATTTGGAAAAATTAGTCACCGTCACTTTGGCCTTGTTCAGTTGGATTAAAAAATCCGAATTTAAATTTGGGTTGAAAAATTCAAATTCACATTTAAGTTTGAGAATTATTCCTTAAAAAAAAATTATCTGCTACCATTTTAGCCATGTTTGGTTCGATTAAGAAATGCAAATTTAAATTTGGCTTCAAAAATTCAACTTTACATTCAAGTTTGAAAAGGACTCTTTAAAAAAACTTATCCTGTAATGTATTTCACTGTCACTTTAGACGTATTCGGTTAAATTCAAGCTCAAATTCATAAGTTACTCTTTAAAAAAATTACCCACTGTCACTTTAGTCATATTTAATGAAATTAAAAAATCAGTATTTAAATTTGGGTGGAAAAATTGAACGTAAAAATTCAAACTGAAATTTAAGTTCAAAAATTATTCTTCAAAAAAATTATCCACTGATGTATTGCACTGTCACTTTCGCCATATCTATTTACATTAAAAACACCAAATTTAAATGTAGGTTAAAAAATTGAATGCAAAAAATCAAGTTTAAATTTAAGTTCGTGAATTATTTTTCAAAAAATTACTAAAATTACTAAAAAAATTCTCAAGAAAATCACAATGCAAAAGCACCAGGAATACTCTCAAAAAATCTCTTGAACCACAGACACTTGTAAACCCACCAAATCCACCTCGATCTTCCTCGTTCTTCTCTCTCCCCACAAAACTAATCGAATAATCAAGCAGCCGGTGCACATACCTCCGCTTTTACGTAATTGTCGCCCACGCGAAAATTTTTTTCTTCTTCACCGACACAAAACGGCGACAAGGAAGACAAAAGTTTCCAGGTCCGGGAACCTTCAACGCGAGAACCATCTCTCTTCTTCCACTTCCTCCCAAGCCTCGTCGTTTTCTCCCCGAGAGACGTTGCTTCTGCTTCACTTTTACCGTTCTTTTGGCATCCTGTGCGGCCGCTTCTTTGGACATTCACCAGACAGGCGCTCTGTTTGTCTTCCTTGAAGAGAGAATTTAATTGGACCGGAGTAGCAGACGACGACTGAACGATTTTCCACGGTATTTCCACCGAGAAACTCCTCTAGCTTGGACACACGCTCGTCTAAGACTTCCTTTTACATTGTGATACCTAATGGAAGAAGATGTGTTTCTATTTTTTTAATTCGCACGAGTGCGACAGATGCAGATTGTGATTTTCACGCGGTTTCGTTGGTCACGTTCGTTCCTGGCGACGTTGGCTTATCGTCAAACGGTTTATTTTCAAGTGGACGCCGACAGAATTGTTGCAGTTCTCTTCGTGGTTGAATTATTCCGTTGTTTTCTCCACCGACATTCCATCTCGGTTCGGTGCAGAGGTTTCGGTATTTCGCGACATCGGGAGGGATTCGTTTCTGGTTTAACGGAGACTTTACACGGTGGCTTGAAGTGTCTATTATTGCTGTTTTGCGGAACGTTTTGGGGGGGGGATAAATTAGAGGTGTTTGTTTGGACTATCTCGATCCTTGTCTCGGTGAATCGATTATTCCGTGTTTGATTTGGTTGGAGATAGATAGTCTGTGGGCGAAACTCGTGATACAGGAAGAATTCCTTCGATTATTATAATTTCGAATCTCTGCATTGTACACAAAGAATTGTCCATGTTAATAGCAATTTTTGTGTCGCTGCAATTTCTAATTTTCGTATTCTACATAGAGAAGTATTAATATACAGGGTGTCCCGTAACTCCTCGAACACCCGGAAATGGGGGGTTGCTGGGGTGACTCTGAACAACTTTTTCCTTTACCAAAATGTTGTTTGAAGCTTCGTTTTCGAGTTATTAACGAAAAACACTGGCCAATCAGAGCGCGCGTAGAGCTCGCGCTCAGGGGCGGAGAACAGAGGCTCACCCGCGCGCGATCGAACAAATGCGTACGCGTCACTTCTCGGTTATCGATCGCTGTCAAAAAAATTTCACTTTGCACCGCTATTTTTATAAGGCTTAGAGAAATGGGTTTTTGCCGTCATTCCGACGTTTGTATAAATTTTTGAAAAATCTCCAATTAGTCGGAATCGTGAAGAAAATAGCGGAGGTCTGAAAATAGCCTTTGTTCTTCGCCCCTGAGCGCGGGCTCTACGCGCGCTGTAATTGGCCAGTGTTTTTCGTTAATAACTCGAAAACGAAGCTTCAAACTGGATTTTGGTAAAGGAAAAAGTTGTTCAGAGTCACTCCAGCAACCCCCCATTTCCGGGTGTTCGAGGAGTTACGGGGACACCCTGTATATATTTATTTATTCAGCCTCACAGCCATGAATTTGACTTGGTTTACAATAATCTACGTTTTATAAAACTATCTTATTCACTCATTCGATTCGTTCTCTCTCTCTCTTCCATTCCCTCGTACTCTACTAACCTATCGCCCTACTTATTACCCATTAATTATTACCCCTCCCTTATACTTTAATATTCTCTTTGGTGTTCATAGAGTTAATATTAATTCATGATTATTATCATTGAAACTTTCGAGCGTAAATGATAATTATGCTTCAAGCCTTGGGAGCCTGGATATTAAAAAAAAAAAATGATTAACATTCGTATCGGTAAAATATTAATATTAATTTTCGTATCACTGCAATCTCTAATCTTCATATTCTACGCGAAAATTAACTTGTTATTATTATTCTTATCGTTGAAGCTTTGGGGTGTTAATAATTATGCTCTGGAAGCCGTGGAAGCGTTAAATCTTCGATTAATATTCGTATCTAAAATCATGATAGAAAAAAGTATTAATCTTTATTTATCTAAAGTAATTTTCTCTAAATAATTATTCTCATGTAGCTAAAATAATTTTCTCTAAATAATTCTCGTATATCTAAAATAGTTTTCTCTAAATAATTATTCTCATATATCAGAAACAATTATCCTCCAAAAGACATCCCTGAAATCGCATAATTACGAGAAAGACGAGTTCTCTAAAGCACGTGAGAGAAGCATCACGATCCACTAAAGAAACACGGCGAGGATCTAACAAGATCGGAAAAATCGTGGAAAAGTGATTTGGATAATTCGCGGGAAAAAGCTCGTTTCTAAGTGTACCTATACATTCGAGGAGGGTAATACAACGGCGAGATAGATAGATAAGAGCGAGAGAGATAGAGTGAGACGAATAGGCGAGTGTGAGTCATCTCACGTGGATTTTAAATAGAACGTAAACGGCTTTTGACTCGGCAGATGCTGACGACGAACCAGAGCCAGAGCAGCAGCAGCAGTTCGAGCAGGGTGGCCAAATCCTCCCAGAGGATTCTTACCTCGTCCTCGTCGAGTGAGATGAAAGCGAGCTCCATGAAGAGCGATCTAAGGGAACTTCAACGCGGCATATCAGAGATGAAGAATAACATTTCCACGAATTTCTCGCAGCGACTGCGCAGCAGCATGGAGAACCTCGTGGACAGGTGGGTCTCTTTCATCCTTTTTATCCGATCCTCCTTTGACACGTTCTTTTTTTTTTTTTCTCACTACCAACGTTCGGTACTTTGTTAGCTGAAGTTAGCGTTTTGATGAAAATCTTTGGTTCAAGTATTTTGATATTTTGAACGATTCACGTCACTCGTCGAGTTTGCCAATTTGTGAAGCTTTATGAACCAATTTTTAACTATCAAAGTACAGTGTTTGGGAGCTTTTTCTACAGTGTAACAAAAATTTTTGGTATAAGCATTTTAATATTTTGGACCGTCTCACGTCACTCAAGTTTGCCAGTCTGTGAAGCTTTGTGAATCGTTTTTTCACTATCAGAGTTCAGTGTTTTGTCGGTTAAAGTTAGCGTTTCAACGAAAATCTTTGGTTTACGTATTTTGATATTTTGGGTCTTTCATGTCACTCAAGTTTGCCGATCCGCGAAGCTGCAAGGATCCTTTTCTCACTATCGGAGTTCAGTTTCTAGGAGTCCTTTTTACAGTGTGTAACAAAAATCTTTGGTTCAAGTACTTCGATATTTTCGACGTTTCGCGTCAGTCATCAAGTTTGCCAATTTATGAAGATTCCCTTTTTGTTAGAAACGTAACGTCGTCCGTTTGAGTTTGATTAATGATCGAAGTTAGAACTTAGGTAGCTTTGTTACGTACTGTGTATCGTTCAGCTTGGACCCTCGTGGAAAGGTGCATCTCATTCGTCGTTTTTATACAATTTTAATGCAAGCTGGCATTTTAGTATCATTTTACTGACTGCTACAGTGTGTAACAAAAACGTTTGATTTACGTACTTCAACATTTTGGTCGCTTGACGTCACTCATTAAGGTTGCCAATTTACGAAGGTATCGTGCTTCCCTTTTCGACGTATTCTAGTCGAGCAAGATAAATTATTATTGCGCTCGGAGTTTGGGAACTTTTGTTACACGCTGTATGTAGTTTGTGCGATTTTTGTCATTTAAGTTTGGGAATATTGTAATTGTAATTACATTGTTTATTGTGAAATGGACAGAACTTTGGTGAATAGTAGACTTTTCTGTGATAATTTGTGCAAGATCAGAGGGTCATCTTTATTTTTGCTCTTGTATTTCATTGACAATTCAAAGCATTTTTAAAATTACCCTAATTAAATCTTGGACGATCGTATCGTTACCAGAAATGAAAAATCTCAGAAATTCTTTAACAATTCAAAATCTAAAATTCATTTAACAGGTTATAAAAAAAATTAGCTTCAAGGCTGATCTCCCCACAATTTTTTCAAGTTACCCTAATTAAATCTTGAACCACCGCATCATTACCAAGAATTAACACTATACAAAAAAATTAGCTTCTCACAAATTTTCAAATTACCCTAATTAAATCTTGGCCCACCGTATCATTACCAAGAATTAACACTATACAAAAAAATTAGTTTCTCACAAATTTTCAAGTTACCCTAATTAAATCTTGAACCACTATATCATTACCAAGAATTAAAAATCTCAGAAATTCATTGACAATTCTAAATCTAAAACTCGTTTAACACTATGCAAAGATTAGCTTCTCACAAATTTTCAAATTATCCTAATTAAATCTTGGCCCACTATATCATTACCAAGAATTAACAATCTCAGAAATTTATTGACAATTCTAAATCTAAAACTCGTTTAACAATATACAAAAAAATTAGTTTCACAAATTTTTAAATTATCCTAATTAAATCTTGGCCCACCGTATCATTACCAAGAATTAACACTATACAAAAAAATTAGCTTCTCACAAATTTTCAAATTATCCTAATTAAATCTTGAACCACTATATCATTACCAAGAATTAACAATCTCAGAAATTCATTGACAATTCTAAATCTAAAACTCGTTTAACAATATACAAAAAAATTAGTTTCTCACAAATTTTCAAGTTACCCTAATTAAATCTTGAACCACTATATCATTACCAAGAATTAACAATCTCAGAAATTCACTGACAATTCTAAATCTAAAACTCGTTTAACTATATACAAAAGAATTAGTTTCACAAATTTTTAAATTATCCTAATTAAATCTTGACCCACCATATCATCGCTAAGTAAAGACACTTTCAATTAAACCCTTTTCCATTCAGTACACCCAGCGTCTACCACAAAACGAACCCGTTCCACTCCCCAAATTAGACCAACTCTAAAAATACTCACCTCAGTCGAACTTTCATTCTGAAATGCAAAAGTATCCAGCAGACCGTCTCGTAATCAGCAAAGTCACGTCCACGGTGTTATTTATAACCGGCGAAATCCTCGTTTTAGCCCGGTGCACCGCGATTATTTTCAAAAGCTTCGCGCCGCGTAAATACACAGGCGTGTCGAGCACATCGACACGCGAAATTGAGGAATTTCTCACGGCAATCGAAATCGTTCTCGTGTTTTTTCTATTAGGGACGGAAACGGTACCGAAGAAGGCGATCTGACGGAACCATTGGTGACGTTTCCGGATCCGGACACTCCGCCACCTTCCAGAGGAATTTCTCACGGCAGTCGAAATCGTTCTCGTGTTTTTTCTATTAGGGACGGAAACGGTACCGAAGAAGGCGATCTGACGGAACCATTGGTGACGTTTCCGGATCCGGACACTCCGCCACCTTCCACGGGAACTGTCACGCTGACAGGAGGATCTCCTTCGCAGTTGAGCTCGTTGAACTCGTTGAACAATCTTCACAATATGAGCCCGCCGATCAGTATGTCGAATATTTCGAACATGACGAATTTACCTGCTGGACAGGAAACGATGAAGTTCGAACAGAAGAAGATGACCAGTGCTTCGAAGACGAAGGTATGTAATTGCGTTCTGATTTCTTTTCTACTTTGGAATGATCTGTGTGGGTTTGTCGAGGTTTTCGAAGGCTCGTAGATTATGGATAAACTATGGATAGAGATATGTTGTACCTGTGATAATGGTTTATCTTGATTGTAGCTGTAGTTCCAGTTTGTAACACTCGAGAATTATCATATGGGTATTGTTTGTTGGATTTTTATTTGGTTAATCTGATTTATTATCGATAATAAGAAGAGTATGGTATGTGGTCGTTGAAATGGTAAAGGGTTAAATATTAGATTGGAGGAATAAACAGTAGAAAAGTTAAACATTAAATTGAAGGAAGCAGTAAATTTAAGGGATCGAACAATAAAGGGTTAAATATTAAATTGAAGAGGTTAAGCAGCAAAGGGTTAGATATTAAATTGAACGCGTTGAGTAGTAAAGGGTTAAAAGTTAAATTGAACGTCTTGAGCATTAAAGGGTTAAATATTGAATTAAAGGGGTTAACAGTAAAGAGTTAAAAATTTGACATCAATTTTCACTGATTTTTAAGTTGAACGTACGGTTCAAATACTAATTTTTAAGTAAAATTATTCAAATATTTTACTACCTTTTCACTGATCACTGTTAAATACAGCAAATCTCAAGTACAAGGTGACAAAAAAAAAAGAAGCATGAAGAAGTTTCAAAGGAAATATCAAGCAACTCTCGTTAAACCTCCACCGCATTTTCTTATCGAACAATGAACGTTTATCTACACGCCTAATCCTCCAATTCTTCATAAATGCGTATCAGAAAGCAAGACCTACCTGAAAATATCGCCGTCGTACCATTTATAGAATCGATGAATTTTAACGAGTCCCTGCAAAATAACACTCTCCCGTCCATTTTGATTTACCGCTGGATAAAAGATCGGCCAAATTTCTTCCCGGTTGGAAATTGCGCGTGAAATGATGGATGGCCGCGTGGAGTTCGCGAACGTTTGGCGACACAGAGCTGCGCAACGTTTGGCCGGAGGTGCGGTTTCCTCTAGGTAGTCTAGGTCAAGGACTCGGAGTCTATCTCTAGGTAACTCCTCGAGCCAAACCACCAGTGATGTATCGATTGAAATTCGCCACCCTGCACGCTGTACCATTTTTCCACCTTGATTCTCCCTCGTTTCTCGAAACTTGACGATCGATCGACGAGGAAGGAAATCCGATTTTTCGAGAATTTTCCTCGATTTTGTAAGTCATCGGAGGTGCGTCCAGCCGAGAAAGTTATTTTTACGACGAATGTCACGCGTTGTGCTTCCTCTCTCAACAGCTGAGATCTCTTTCCGCTTGAATTCTATCTTTAACCCCGTTTCCGTCGCGCCAAGGTCACTATTTTCACCCCTTTTTTTGTACGCTTCTGATACTAGGTCTATTTATGGTTTTTCTGATTTAGGTATTTAGCGGAGTTTGTTAATTTTTGCGTTCCTTCGGATTTCAGGTTGTCACAGACGGTTTCAGCGCCGAGAAGGCGACCGCGAACAGCGCCGAGATGAGAGCTTTACAGGCTGGCGACGTCTCGTACAAGGAGCAGAGCGCCGCGACGGCGGCGAGGGCGCGAGTCGAACTCGATGGCGTCTCCGCTGAGAAAAGCGTCGCCGCAGCGAGGGTGAGTCGATGTTAATGTTTCTCTACTCTTGACATACTGTCGAGGCCTTGCGAAATCTGCATTAGAACCTCTTAAATCACCGAGGAAAGGCGCGATTTGTCATCCGTGGTCAGGGCGAAATTAAGGATCTAAGGGATAGTTCCAAGATTTTGAAGAATTTGTTCTTTTTTCTTTTTTATTTAAGTTTTTGAGAATTTCTTTGTGCATCTTGTGAGACTCGGAATTCTCAATTCCTGAATACTATTGAAATGAGATTTATCCTTCTTTTTAATTAAAATTTTTTGGCGCACCTTATGAAACCTAGAGAATTTTCAATTACTGAAGATAGTATTTAGGTTCTTTTTATATACCAGAGAAATCTGAGACTAAAATTCAGGCTCTTTTCATATAACAGAAATTTCTTTCTTTTTTAATTAAAATTTTTTTTTAAGTTTGAGAATTTCTTTAGGCACCTTATGAGACCTAGAGAATTTTCAATTACCAAACATAGTATTTAGGTTCTCTTTAAATGACAGACAAATCTAAGAAAAAATTATTACTGTTCAAAGATTAAGCTTTTATTCGTAACAAAATTTTATTTCAAAAGTCGCTCGATATCAGGAATGTGTTCACCTGAAACGGAAGGTACTCGGGTTTCTCTGAGTAACAACCAAATCCCACTTCTCCATAAAGAAAAAGAACTTTATTAAAGAGAATCGTTCTATATCAGAAATTCATCAACACAAAACGAAACTTAGCCTGTTTAACAAAGAAACGAGCTCGGAGCAAACTGGTACCACGCGGGATCCTTTTGTGTCATACTCGGTCGTTAGAGAACAAGCATCAGCTGGTTCCGTCGTGCAAAAGGATCGAAAGGAAGGCGTTGCTCTGGGTGCGGCCTAAACTCGCCTCGCGTAGAATAGTTTGGCACGAAACTCGCCTCCTCTTCGGTCGTTGACACGATCGTTTCTCCTCCTGATGATCTCTCCCGTTCGAACAAGCCGCTCTTCTCACGCGACCATCCGATAAACAGTCCTCTTAAACGTCTCTGTGGTTCGGGGAAACGCTCGACTGTTACTCTTCCGCCAGAATTTCGACGCACGTGGTTGCTAAACTCTCGAACGAAAAGATGGGGTAAATAATACCTGCACGCAGACGAAAGGGAAAAAATTGACAGAGATTTAAAAAACCTGTGATATTCAACAATAGAGATTAATCTGAAAGTGTAATCTTGTTAAACGTAACTGTAGATAACGATCTAATTGTGATTTAGAAAATAGTACAGTAATGAGAAATACTTTTCTCGTGATTAATAATAGTGTAATCTTTCGATAACAGTGATTCATTTAACATAGAACAATGGTAATCTAATCTTGCAGGAATCGCTATTCTATCGGATCCTTTTGTAATAGTAATCGCATCGATAATGGGGTTGCTCTATCTAGAGTTTAGCGATAGGAAATTGAGTAATATTTTATCAATTGATTAATTGTCGAAAAGTCATCGATCTCAGAGAACTTCTTGAAACTGTTAATAATCGAGATTAATTGCGTCGGTAATAGAGTGTGCTAGAGGTTAATCTGTTGATAAATTAATTATCGAAAGGCACTCGAATCTTGGAGTATGAAACACAGCGTGTTCGGTGAAAAATCGATGGAAAAATGGAAAGTAGCAACAATAAACGAAGTAGGTTTTCTCGCGATCAACAGCAGTCTGGATAGCTTATCTGAAATCGGTCAACGATAAGAATTATTGTTATTATTGCACAGTGTCGCTTCGTACTGTAGCTGCCATACTGTGCAAGTTTTCTTGGAGGCTATGCTTTTCATACTATGCGTATGAAGGAGTTACTGATGGGTGCTTGCAATTTTTAGCGTTCAATGTGTGATGCTTTGAGTATTGGTGTACGGAGTTTCGAGGCTTTGCGGTTTTTTGGGGGGGGTTTTGTGATTGGTGAAGCAGAGGGGTTAGCTGTGATAGGGAAAAAGTGGGAAAGGAGGAGAGACGGAGGAAAGTGGGAAAGGAGAAGAGATGGACAAAAGTGGAAAAGAAACAGTGATCCAATATCTGTGATAAAAGGTAAAAAGGTGATAAAGGACCTCGTAAGAAAGGGGTAAAAGGCCCTTGCAAAAGTTATCGAAGATCCTTGCAAAGATCACCGAAGACACTTGCAAAAGTTATCGAAGATCCTTGCAAAAATGATTCAAGTTCCCCGCACTAAGGTCCTTTATCACCAGATTGAATAATTGCTCACTTTTAACCATTCCTACTCCCTCGCTGCAACAATCTCTTCTTCGTTAGCTACAAAAGAAAGGAAGAAAAAGTGGCAGAGTCATGGAACTCGACACACGAATACACAAATGATTACATACTACATAGTACAAATTACAAGCAGCTAGTAACAGTCTTTCATACTCAGACACAGCGAACCATTCAATCGAGCCTCTCTCAGGTTTGCGGAATTGGGTTATTTGCCTATGTGGACATCGTCGAACAGGGATCCGTTGTCGATTACGCGAACAACGCTCGCCGTTTTCACCGTGCACGCTCCTATTTACGCGACGCGGACTCGCTAAATTTAGCCGTTTTTCAACTCGAGCTACGTAGCTTTTGAGTCACTCGACGGAATTTTTGACACCGGGCCAAAACGACTGTGCACCGCGCGACGCGCACAATGTTGCTCCCTGGCCCCTCGCTAATCTTCCACGACGATTATGTACCCGAAACCACAGAGAGATGATACTCTCTCCTCTGTGTCGCTTCGTTACCTCATCGTCTGTTGTAACACTTGCGAACTGTCGGGATGTTAGGTGAGACCGTTAGGTATTCGTGGAAGATCACGCGGGGGAAGATTTGGATCGGTTTCGTTTGAAGGGATTGAGTAATCGAAGGGTTCCTCGATTCGAAGAGATTGTGGTGGAAGAGTTGAAGGATTTCTTAATTTGTGGGAGATTCTGTGGTAAAGAAGTTGAAAGTTTCTTCGGTTTTTGAGCTTTTGATTTTTTTAACTCCCTTGATAAGGGAGATGGAAATTTTCTGGTAGAATAATTGAAAGATTCTTCGTTTCCTGAGCTTCTAGTTTTTCTTAACTCTGATGATAAGAGAAATGGAGATTTTCTGGTAGAATAAATGAAAGATTCCTAATTTTTCGAGCTTCTGGTAAAGGAACAGAAAAATTAAGAGATTATAATTGAAAAATTGAAGGATTTCTAACTCTGTTGAGATTCCATAGTAGAGAAATTGAAAGTTTCTTCGATTTTTGAGCTTTCGATTTTTCTAGCTCTCATGATAAGGAAGATGGAGATCGTCCGGTAGAATAATTGAAAGATTCTTCGTTTTTTGAGATTCTGATAAAGGAGTAGAAAAATTAAGAGATTTCAGTGGAAAAATTGAAGGATTTCTAATTTGATTGAGCTTCCACAGTAGAGAATCTAATTCCAACTCTCCTAATAAAGAACACAGAGATTTCCTAGAAGACTAATTTCAAAAATCCTCATTCCTTCTTTTTCTAATAAAACAATTAAAAAAAAAGTCCTTCTCAGAAAAATCGGGAATTGCCCGTAATTCCCTGTAATTCCTCGTTTAATGCCCTATAAATTGCCAATTTAACGAGTCGTTTTCACCGTGAATCAAGCTTGGCCGCAGAAGTTGTGAAAGGAAGGCATAAATCGGTCGGAATCTCTTATTTCGATCTCTAGTTAAAATTCTAGGACGTTTGAAACGGAGCAACCTCCGAGTAAACACGAGCGGAGCAGCGTTGAAATAGAGCCTGGCCAAGAATTTATCGCACGTGGAGAAGTCGTACCTTTTTAATGGAACGGTCGCGTGTTCTAACGATCGAAGCGTCAAAGGGCAATGGATTTTCCCCGAGGTTTCCGTGTACCGTTCCATTGAAATCGCGTGTTCTTCACGCAAACCTTGACCCGTTGTATCGTTTCTTTATCGAGAAATAATCCGCACTGCGATGCACGCGTGTGTACATCCACGGATCGATACACTTTGTGGAAATACTTTCTTTTACCGCGAGAAACTGAAACGTTGGAATTGGAAGAATGAGAATTTGAGAATGGTGGAAGGTTTGTCGAGGTGGTTTTCTTTTGAAGATTATTCGAGAGGTGTTGGAATTGCGCAATTTCTCGAAACGAGATGACTATTCAGAGGATTCGATCTGGGAACGGTCTGTGATCATCGATTGGCCAAGAGAAGATGCCAAAAATTGTCTGCATCGTAATCGTTAGACGTTGGCAAACTTGTTCGATGATCGTTACATGCGACGATGAATCAGCGCGTACACGTGTCCTCGTGTTACGCGCATGTGGCTTCGATATAATAACTTGGAGAGATTGAAGGGAAGGGTTAATTGAGGGATAAAGGGTTGAGTGTGTTTAAATTGGGGGAAGTAGTGATTTGGGTGTTTTGGTGGGGAAAGGTGAAATTTGAATGATTTTAGTGAGCTTTCGTAAGGATTTGCGATATTTAGAAAATAGAGAAAATAGAGAGACAAATTTATGAGAGTTTGAGAGTACTCTCAAGAGTCAAATTTGTGAGCGCTGGACACACTCTGTGAGAGTACTCCCGAGAGTCAAGTTTGTGAGAGCTGGACACTAAATTTGAGAGAACTCTCAAGAGTCAAATTTGCGAGCGCTGGACACACTCTGTGAGAGTACTCTGCAGAGTCAAATTTGTGAGAGCTGAGCACACTCTGTGAGAGTACTCCCGAGAGTCAAGTTTGTGAGAGCTGGACACTAAATTTGAGAGAACTCTCAAGAGTCAAATTTGTGAGCGCTGGACACAAAATTTGAGAATACTCTTGAGAGTCAATTTTGTGAGAGCTGGGCACACTCTGTGAGAGTTGGACACTAAATTTGAGAGAACTCTCAAGAGTCAAATTTGTGAGCGCTGGACACACTCTGTGAGAGTACTCTGCAGAGTCAAATTTGTGAGAGCTGGGCACACTCTGTGAGAGTACTCCCGAGAGTCAAATTTGTGAGAGTTGGACACTAAATTTGAGAGAACTCTCA